ACACCCTCTCTACCCTTTGCTCTCAGCCCTCCCCTGGCCTGCCCCATCTGCTGTGCCCCACATGATGCTGGTCCCTGGGCAGGCTGAAGTCACAGCCTCTACAGGGCACGTTCCCTTTGTGGGCAGCAGGTGCTTGATTATTACTGGGGAGGGGGCACCATGTACAGCAACCACACTCCTGCAGTAGGCCCAGGGGACAGCATCTGGGCTTCCCCACACCCAGATTCAACCCAGCACCTGCAGCTATGGGGAGCTGGGAGAGCAGGGTATGGCCAGGGGCACTGCCCAGACGGACATGAAGGCAACCCCCACCCCACCTCACTCCACTGCATCCCACTGCTCTGGCTTCCCATCCCACTCATGTGCCCCCCCCAATTCATGTGTGCTTTCCTGTGACAGGTGAGCGACTGGTGGGAGGAGTACATCTACCTGCGTGGACGAGGGCCCCTCATGGTGAACAGCAACTACTATGCTATGGTGAGGAAGGGTACAGAGCCCATGGAAGGCAGGGGGACTGTAATGCTGCTGCACAACCCTGGCACCAGCATGGAGGGGCCCATCATGACAGCAAAGGGTAGCCCTTACCCTGTGGGTTCAGCACCCTTAGGCGCTGGGGTGCAGGACCAGGGGCCAGTGCAGAGCCCAGTCCCACCCTTCCCAGCCCCTGTGCCCCTCCTCCCTGCCTACATCCAGTGCAGGGAGGGCCCTGACGCCAGCCCTACAACTCACCTCTCCCAGGACTTCCTGTATGTGACACCCACGTCCGTGCAGGCTGCCCGGGCAGGCAACAGTGTGCATGCCATCTTGCTTTACCGGCGCCGGCTTGACCGCGAGGAGATCTCCCCGGTGAGCGGCTCCTCATGGGCAGGGTGAGACCTCAGAGGCATGAAGGTCTGATGCAGGGGGTGGGGATGAGGAAGCAGCAGGGATGGGGTTCAGCAGGGCTGGGGATGGGGGGGCAGCAGTGCTCTAATTACAGTTTGACTCTTGCAGAGGTCTGCGAAAAAAATTGGGCTGCCCTTCACAATACCTTAATTAAATCACAACCCCACCCCACCCCCAGGTTATGCTTTTCAAATTTTACAGGGGGGTTCTTGTCTCTTACTGGGGAGCTCAGCCCCCCCAGCTCCGCTGTAATTTGAACCCTTGGGGATGGGGAATAGACACAGGGCTGTGGAGGAGTGGCCAGGATGGCTGCAGAAGGTGTGCTGGGGGCCTGGCCATATCCCAGGGTGACCCTGTGGCCGTGCCACCATGTGACCCCGTGGCCATGCTGGCAGGTGAAGCTGCTGGGCCTAGTGCCCATGTGCTCCTCCCAGATGGAGCGGATGTTCAACACCACACGCATCCCCGGGAAGGAGACAGGTATGTGGCACAGCATAGGACCCCTGTCCTATGCAGCCTCCCAGCCCCTGGGCATAGTCTCTAGTACTCAATGGGGACCTTGTCCATTGGGCATCTCCATGGGAGACCATTCCCTGTGGGCTCGTCATCTCCACTCTGCCCACATCTGCATGTAAGGGCCAGTTCTGGAAAATGGGTTGCAGCCAGTAGCTCCCTCTAGCAGGGCCCAGAGGACAAACCCCATCTCTGTGGTGGCCTTGCTCCCCTCTGGCAGCATAAATTTGTTGGTGTGGGTGGGATCCAGGCAGTGAGAGCCATCAGATGATTCTGGGGCCGCTGTGCCCCTGCTGCCCACCCACAGACATCCTGCAGCACCTAGTGGACAGCAAACATGTGGCTGTGTACCACCGTGGACGCTTCTACAAGCTGTGGTTATACTACAGCGGGCGGCTTCTGGGGCCACGTGACCTGGAGCTGCAGTTCCAGCGCATCCTGGATGACCCATCAGTCCCACAGCCTGGGGAGGAGAAGTTGGCAGCCCTCACTGCCGGGGACAGGTAGGGGCCAGGATGGATGTTGTGGGTAGCCTACTGGGCATGTGGCTTGGGGGAACTGGAAAGAGCCAGGGGCAGGGATAGGGACTAACCTGAATGGCACTGGCACAGGGACAGAACAGGGAGCCCAGCCTAAGCAGAGCAAGGAGGGCAGGGCTTGGGCATGGCCTGAAGCATGGGGTGCCAGGGTTTCCCAGTGAGGAGGGAAGCCAGCCCAGGAGTCACAGGGCAGGTGATGAGAACCTGAGCCTAGGTGGGGGTGGCAGAGGGGACTGGGACTCAGCAGCTCCTGGGGTGCCCTGCACAGGGTCCCATGGGCCGAGGCCCGTGCTCGGTTCTTTGGCTCTGGAAAGAACAAGGTGTCATTGGAGGCCATTGAGCGGGCAGCCTTCTTTGTGGTGCTGGATGAGGAGGAACATTGCTTCCACCGAGACCAGGAGGACAGCCTGGACTGTTATGCCAAGTCCCTGCTGCACGGCCGCTGCTATGACAGGTAGGCATCACCCTGGCTTCCTCCTTCTCCTGCCCACCCACCCTGGTGTCCCCCCTGCCCGCCTCATGCTCCAGCTTCCCCCAGGTGGTTCGACAAGTCCTTCACCCTAATCGTCTACAAGAACGGCAAGCTGGGTGCTAATGCTGAGCATGCCTGGGCTGACGCGCCCATCATCGGGCACCTCTGGGAGGTATGGATCGGGGCCAGGGCTGAGTCCATGACCAGAAGTCAGGGGCCAAGGACAGGGCATGGACAGCAAGGCTGGGGCAGGGGCAGAGGCCAGACCCTGTTGCAGAGGGGCTCTGTGCCCACTGACAGCACTGGCAAAGGGACTCAGTGCATGTAGGATGTGGGGGGGAAATGGCCCCAGAGGTTAGTGCAGTGGTGGGTGCTGGGGGTGTATGTGTAGGGGGCTGTGAGGCCCTGGCCCCAGGGCCTAGTGTGTGTGTGGGGGGGGGGGGCTCTGAGTCCCCACCCATGCCAGGTTGGGTGTTCCTGCACTTGCCATACTTCCCTTTCAGTTCATGCTGGCGACAGATACCTTCCAGCTGGGTTACAGTGAGGGGGGCCACTGCTGTGGGGAGCCCAACCTGGGCCTGGCACCCCCACAACGGCTGCAGTGGGACATTTCTGAGGAGGTAGGTCCTAGAGTCTGCAGTGGCAGGGATGGGGAAGCCCTGGCAGGGCCTCAACACTGCCCAGGTCATCTCCAGCCCTACTTCCAGTTAAAATGGACTAGCCACTTCCCAGAACAAGCTGGGGGAGGGAGTCTTGCTTTTTGCAAACCTTGGTGGCTGTCAAGAATCCTCAGTAGCTTGGGGCTCAGCACAGATCTGTGGGCCAGTCCACAGAAGCTGCCTGCTGCCAGGGCCTGGTTACATGCCATGCATATGAAACCCACCCAGCCACTTCTCCATTGAGCCCTGGAGGTCTCTCAATCCCTGCCTCTCCACACAGACACAGTGAAACTCCCCTGCGGGTCCTGAGAGCTCTAAGGTAGGCTCTGACCCATGCTGCAGGGGCCAAGCAGTACCTGCCTGGCCCAAGCTGCTCCCAGGTGCTGCAAGGGCCATGGTTCCAGGCAGGTGTGGAGAGTGGGGTCTGGTAGTGCTGGGAGAAGGGGTGAATACAGGGCCTAAGGTAGGCAGGGCTGGTGCTGTGGGTCTGGAGGTCCTGCCCCACCAAGGACAGCTTTATCTTAGGTAAATACAGGCAGCTCTTGAGCAGGGGCTGTGGCACCAGAGCTCCAGGCAAGGCCAGGCACTCAGGCTGCTCCTCCCTGTGGGGGAAAACAGATATCAGGAGGAGCTCTAAGCTGCAGCCCCATGAGCCAGGAGCCCTGCATGTCCCATCTTCCCCCTGGGTGCTGGCAGGGACAGAGGAGTCTTTGGGCACATGCTCACGACACAGCCTTTCTGCAGTGCAGGATGGCCATCGATGGCTCCTATGGTGTAGCCCAGGTGCTGGCAGATGATGTGGACTTCCATTGCTTCCTGTTCACCGACTTTGGGAAGGGCCGGATCAAGCGGTGCCGGACCAGCCCTGATGCCTTCATCCAGATTGCACTGCAGCTGGCACACTTCCATGTGAGCTGCTGACCCTCCTTGCCTCCTGTGTGGGCCTGGTGGCCCTCACTTGGTGGTTGCTGCCTCAGGCCCAGAGCCCTGGCACCCTGCAGGGCTCCCACCCGGGGCCCAGATACAGCACCCCACTCAGTCTTTGTCCTATTATCATCCCCCCACTCCCAGGGTATCTCTCCAAGTCCTGGGGACTGCACCTTTTGGGGGAGGGAGGGGAGGAGGGGAGGAGTGCTGGAGCTGGGAGGTGTCTGGCACCAAACAGCCCAGAGCAGCTCCCACTGCTGTGCTGGGCCGTGCTGGGCCATTCTGGGCCATGCTCCACAGCTCAGTCCCAAACTATTTGTATCTGGGGTTTGGACACTGGGCTGCCCCTGCCCCCACCACCCTCCCTCCCCAGAAGGACCTGGCTGAAGGAGCCAACATGAAATGGCGGGGGGTTGGGGCAGAGAGCAGCAAGGGCTGCATACAGATGATGCAGTGCCCTGGGCCCAACACATGGGTACAGCCCTGGGCACTGGAGCGGGGGCAGGGTTCCCCTTCTTCAGGACTCAGGGTGCTGGGGCTGTGCCCCCCGCCCCATGCCTCCTTGCCCAGGACAAAGGAAGGTTTTGCCTCACCTATGAGGCCTCCATGACACGTCTCTTCCGGGAGGGCCGAACTGAGACCGTGCGCTCCTGCACCAGCGAGTCCACAGCCTTTGTGCGCAGCATGGCTGACCCGGCCCAGAGCGTAAGTAAGCCCCTCGTCCTGACACCTCCCTGCCCTCTCCCCAGCCTCTCTGCCCTCCCCCTAGCCTGGCCTGGCCCCTCTCTACCTCCTCCCCCCAGCCTGGCCTGGCTCCTCGCTGCACCCCACCCCCTTCCTCCAGCCTGGCCTGGTCCTGGTCCTCCCTGCTCCCGATCCGTCCCCGCAGGCTTCGGCTCCTCCCTGCCCCCAGCCCTGCACTGCACTCCCAGCACAAGGGCAACCGATGCCCGGCAGAGTCTGCGGGAAGGATGACACCAGAATGCACCTGGCTCAGCCGCACCGAGAGCCCCCGGGCGGGCAGCCCCAGCCGTGCCCTGAGCCGCCCTCTTCCTGCAGCGGTGCGAACGCCTGCGGCTCTTCAAGCTGGCGGCGGAGAAGCACCAACTCATGTACCGCCTGGCTATGACCGGTGCCGGCATCGACCGACACCTCTTCTGCCTCTACTTGGTCTCGAGGTACCTGGGCGTGGAGTCTCCCTTCCTCGCGCAGGTGAGAGCCCGCAGCCTTCTACGCTCTGGCCCGCTCATCCCCAGCCCTCGCATTTGTGTCCCGTGCCGGGCTGCCGACTCGGATTCCCCTGCAGCCACATGTTCCCAGCCACGTAGCGTGGGAGTGTCCCGTGCACACCACGGACCGTGGCCCACGCCCCCCCACCCCGGCGAGCTCTGCCCCCCGGCCGGTGGCAGGGCCGGCGCCGCATGTTACCTCCCCGCTCACGGGCCTCGCAGGTGCTGTCCGAGCCCTGGCGCCTGTCCACCAGCCAGACCCCGCAGCAGCAGATCAGGATGTTCGACCTGGAGAAGTTCTCGGACTATGTTTCGGCCGGCGGCGGCTTCGGGCCCGTGAGTGCGGCCGCGCGCATGGGGGGACTCGGACGGGGGAGCTGGACTGGCCCGGGGCGGGGGGCAACGAGCCCGGGGGCGGGCCTGTGAGGCTGGGGACGTCCGCGGAACTACCTGCCCCGAGGCAGGTGCGACCCTGCCGCCGTGAGTATCCTGCGTGGCCACAGCAGCCCATGCCCTTCCTTGCTAACCATCCTGCGGCCGGGCTAGGACAGGGCAGTCGGGACGCTGCCCCTGTCCCTGCCCGCGGCCCGGCCCAGCGTCTGCATCCTCTCCCCCTTTCAGGTGGCGGACGACGGCTATGGCGTCTCGTATATGATCGGGGGAGAGAACCTGATCACCTTCCACATCTCCAGCAAATTCTCCAGCCCCGAGACGGTTAGTGCCCGCGTGGGATCCCGAGGCGGGGGGGGGCGGGTCGTGGCTTCTCTGGTCTCTTGTGGGGGCACTGGCGGAACCGGGACCTGCCCAACTGCCCGTTCAGCCCCGTCTCCAAGGTCGGTGCTAGACCCCAAGCGGTGCCGGTCGAGACAGATCCCCGGCGCGGGCCGCGGCTCCGGCAATGGATCCTCAGACCGGAATCAGCCCTGCCCTGCCCTGCCTTGGCCGCACCCGCTCCCGCTCCCGCTCCCGGGGCCTTGGCCCCGGCCCCGCCCGCAGACGGGTGCCCGCGTCGCCCCGGCTCCTCGCTGGCCACTCCCTTCCCGCCCCGCAGGACTCGCGGCGCTTCGGGAGGCACCTGCGCCAGGCGCTGCTGGACATCGCGGGGCTCTTCGATGCGCCCCCCAACAAGGTGCCTAATTGACCCAGCCCCGCGCCCCCCTCAGCGACACGCCCAGGGCCGGACACGGGACCGGGCAACGCCCTCGTGGATCCCGCCCTCTCCCCCGCCCCCGGCCAGGGCGTAGAGCGGGGTACAGGGGCAGCGGCGCCTCGGTAAAAGCCGCCTTGGAGCG